GGTGGGTTAATACACCTGGATTCACAGATTAACTGAATGGTAACTGTGAGTAGTAGATGRGTATAGCTGGAGAAAGTGAGTGCCTTTGTGGTTTATATTTTGTTCTTGTGAATGRAGCTAGCTCTCTCTACCTCCTGGTTGCACATTCTGAACTGCTTTCCTTAGCTACAACCTCTGCCATGGTKCTCTACTTCACCTTGGGTGCAGAGTTATAGAGCCAGCTGTCTATGGACTGAATCTCTGAAGTTGTTACCTCCAAATAAACTTCCTCCTTTGAGCTGTTCTTGTCAGGTATTTTGCTCACAGCAAGGAAAATGAAGCAAAACAGAAATTGGTACTGAGAAGTGGGGTTATTGCTATGACTAACCTAACCATGTGATTCAGTAATTTTTGGAACTTTTTTAATTTTTTAAAAGTTTAGAGATTCAAGACAGAAAAGCTTTGGAATATTGAAAGCAGACTTTAATGGCAAATTCTGGTGGGAACTCAGAAGACCAGAATGTTTACAGGACCGTGGACATTAAAGACTGGGCTCATGAGGTTTCAAAGCAGAAGGAGGACAATATTGGAAATTGGACTAGGGGATATTTGTGTTAAATTCTTGCAAAGAATTTTCTAAATTTTGCCCATGTTCTAAAATTGTCTTTGAGGATGAATTTAAATGTGATGACTAATTAATTTGGCAGAAGAGATTTCAAGACAGCATAGTATTCCAGCAGTGGCATAGATATTGCTAGTAGCTTGGATCCAAGTTCACTGTGATAATCAGAAGTAGAAAGCTGAGTGTAAAGATTTGAAAAACTCATTTTGTCCAGAAAAGTGGGAGTAAATATGGGGCCAAGAAAGATATGGTTGCTAAAGATGTTATAGCCATTAAAGAGATGCAAAGTACTTTACCAAGAGACAACAGGAGTACAGATTGACAGCATCTGAGGAATTGGCATGACCACACCCATCTCAGGATAAAGATGAGACCAGAGGTGTACCCTGATAGACAGGGTGCTTAGGAAGCTGTTTCACAATTCTCCATCACCAGACACTCAGTAGTTGCTGAAGCCATGGTCCCAGGTGATTGGCTACTGCTTGCGAACTATATGGTTTTGGTGCTACAAGAATGCAGGATGTTAGATTTAGGGGGGTCATGGAGGCTACCACTGAGATTTCAAAGGAAAGCCTGAGGGGGCCAGGGAAAGTGTAATAGGGTAGGAGTCCCTGTGGGCGGCCCTTGAAAGTCTGATGCATRAAGATATGAGAAGGGAGCTAAGTGACATTAAAAGATGGCAGGATCATATAACATCTGCTGAAGAAAGCCATAAGAATCAGCTATGTAGAGGCAAAGCTGAGATCATCTTGATACCATGTGACCCAGATACTGGACATGGAACTGTAGGACTTGTTTGCTCAGCTAGATTTCAGTCTCATCTCTTTTTCCTGTGCCACTATCTCTCCTTTGTAGGGTGGAAATTTTTAAATATTGAAAAAATAGCACTTGATTTTTACAGAGTTTGCCTTGAGTTTCTGAGGAGATTTTGAACTTGGAGTTTTCCATATTGCTGGAACTGTTAATACTATGGAGACTTTTAAAAATGGACTAAGTATATTTTTCAGTATGAGATGGGCATGAGTTTCCAGGGGAGGAGTCTTATGATTTAGATATGCTGTGTTACCCAAAAGCTCATGTGAGAAAGTTCAGAGGTGAAATGATTAAGTTATGAGAGTCGTAACCTAATCAGTGGCTTTATCCACTAATATGGATTAACTGGATGGTAATTGTAGGCAGATGGGGTGTCACTGGAGGAGGTGGGTTACTGCATGCATGTATTTGGAGCTGATAGTTTATTCCCAGTGAGTGGAGTTAGCTTTCTCTTCTTCCTGGTGGCAATCTTCTGACCTATTYGCCTCTGTCATTTTCTTCTGCCACAATGTTCTGCCTCACATTTGGTCCAGAGCTATGGGATTGGTCAGTCATGGACTGAACCTCTGAAATTCTGAAGGAAAATAAACATTCCTTCCTTTAAGTTGCTCTTATGAGGTATTTTGGTCATAGTGAGGAAAAGCTAAGTAAAACATAGTTGTTATTACCTCACAAGACCTACTCAAGCTGACTTTCCCATCTGTGTTGAACACAAAACATTATTTGCATCAGTGTGATATTCCATCTGCATTTTAATGTGCAAATGTCTTGAAGATGACAATAATCTTATCAGAAGATAGTGAGAACTTCTTAAGTATGGGATAAGAATAAGCAACTGTTGTTGAGCAATTCTCCCTCCCCATACAACAAATCCCAATTTAACATTTAAAAACTCAGCAGAATTAAATTTAACACATGAATTATAGAAAAAATACCATATCAAATGATAATTTATTGAGTCAAAATTTCTGCATTTATTCAATTGTACAATAGATTGTGCTAAGAGTCAATTTAGAAGTATGTGCAGCATTTAAAAGGTGCATCTCATCATGCAGTCACTCAGCATTTTACTTAAAAGTACGTGCACAAACTCAGACATTTGTGAACTATTTCAGCTATAATCTAGAGTGATTTTTCCTTTGAGAATCTCTTCAGCTCTGAACAACTCATCAAGGCAGACTGCATGCACAGAATCATTATTTTTTAGCTTAAAAAGACAAGAAGTTAGAATATGAAAATATATAAGCAGCATTCATGTAATACAGTATTCCTGAGAATAGTGTGCGCTATAAATCTTTGAGAAATAATTTGTATTCATATGAAAATGAAGATATAAAATATTTTTTTTCAGTCTAAACAGAATAATCTAAAACTAATATACTGTGAGGGGCTGTCAGTATTGTACTGTCAACGACGACAAAGGCATAGCTAGTCTACTGTACTAATTCATGATAAAAGATTTCAGATAATTTTTCCCTCTATTTTGCACATTTGTTTCAAGATTATCAGGGAAAAACTTTTCTAAATTAATGTGTTACAATTTTATTAAAGTATTGTCTTGTGTTTTTAATTTGGAAAAGATTTCAATGTCAGGTAAACAGAGAGTATTTATAATCAGTCATGTGCATATAATTAGCAAARAAAWGGAAACACTGCTGCTACAAAAGTGGAGTTTAAAACTCCATTGTGTAGCTAGAGAATTTAGTTATAATTTGAATGAAAGAGTACTGCGTGTCCAGTATTTGTGAGGCTTTTGCCTGGTTCAAAATTAGAGGGCAAGTAGGGAAGAAAATGTTCTGGACAAGAACCATAAAACAACTATAATTTAATAACTTTTCCTCCAGAGGGAAAGAATTAAATGGTAAATGCAGAATTTTTTTTCTCAGTGTTAGAATTAGAAAAATGTTTWTCTAGAAGTGAACCTCTATAATTTCTTTACTAGAGGAATACCAACATATCACAATCACAAAGTGCTCTTCTTTTCTACTCTGTCTAAACTGGTGTTTTACATCTTGATAATAAATGTACTGTTTAATTGGACAAGAATTAATTGGACAAACAATAGTAATTGTGTGTATGTGTGTGTGTGTGTGTGTGTGTGTGTGTGTGTGTGTGTGTTTCAAGGACTCATTCCCTGGAGAAGAAAATTTGGATTTCCTATTTTGCAAGGAAAATACCTTGACTCTTATCGTACATTGCCTGACCTTAGCCCTTGTCTTTCTTTCTACCCTACCCTCATAGTTAATGCCTACTCTGGATTTTCTTTAGTTGAATGCCTCATCATTTTTGCTCTATCAGACTGTGAACAGATAGTGTTGTCACTGAAAATAAGAATTCCACAACAAAGCAACAATTATCTCATTCACAATAAATTTGACTTTGTTTCTACAGAGTTTTCAAAAATAAACCAAACCAATCTATCAAAGAAATAACAAAAATCTCCCTTCACTGATGAAAAAGAACTCAAAAAGTATTTTTACAAATAATATAGATTTATACACATGCATTATTTTCTTTAGCTCATGAGTGCACATTGTAAAAAAATCACAAGTGTTGTAGAGCATCTGGCTTCAGAATTCTTGAATAAACATTACAATAGCAAATTTTGTAACTGGTCTCAGAGCTGCAGCATAAATTGAAACTTGCATTACATACTTTCAAGGTGCAAAGGTACAAGGAAAATCAACATATTTACAGCATGTCAAKATAGTATTCTCTATGATTTGCAATAATTCAGAGAGGGAAACATTAAGTATACTATAAACCAGCCTTCCACAGTAAAGTAGGGATCAGTTGTGTTTTAATGATATAAGAATAACCATTTGTTTTTTCTAACTATGTGGTTATTGGCATTTAGTATAAAAAATGTGCAGTGCAACTGGCTCTGCCAGTAATAAAATAGACTTGAATGTAGCCAATGCAATAGACTATTATTTCAAAGAATGGCATTATTTTTGGAATCTTAGATTTTTGGTTTGACTACCAAAAGTGATGTGCAACTCTTCAACTGCATAGTCAATGCAAAGCAGCATAAATTCCTTCTCAAACAGATCCACAAATTCATCAAGAGTCAGGGAAATTCCTACTAAATGTAAGCCAGAGTAACATGGATTTCTGGCAGCAAAGGCAATAATTGATTTAAGATATTTCTTGTAAGTATCTCAATTCAACTGAAGGTTCCAAACTCAGATTATCGTGTGAGTGAAGACCACATAATACTTTTAAGTCATGCCTGACTTTTGAATATTTACACAAACATATGTCTTTAGAATGTCACTACCACACCTCCTACTGCACTGCAGCCAATGGAAAGGGAAGGTCTCCAACCACACAACTCCCTGAGACTGGTTCTGAGAATTAAATTTTGGCTTCCTGCATCATCAGCCTAACCTCTTTTTAAGGTCACGAGTCATTATCTYCTTCCCTAGAAACTTCTACATTCCAAATCCCAGAGATTGCTGTGATACATTTCCAAGTAGCATATATGGCTACGTTTTGTCAAATATACCTTCCTCTGAGATGTCACCTAGATTTTCAATTAACATCATTCTTTTGCAACTAATGGTACCTCCCCTCTTGCACTAATGGTATCAACTAAGGCCACTCATGGTGAACAGGCTGACCACTCTGTCTCCGTTGTTGTTGTAAATGTTCTAGTTCAGCCTCATACATCATTTCCTGGACTAAGTACTTCTCTCGTCGTATTCTTTCATGTAGGCCCTTTGGTACATCTGGAATCAGGTATGCGATGAATGACTTAATTCCAAAAACGAGGTGCTACAAATTAGAGTAGAAAGTACAATTTTCAAACATTTTGAAGTACAATTTTCAAACAGGACAGAAAATCACAAACAATTCTGCATTTGTCTTAAAATCATGTATCAGAATGTTGTAGACAGTATCTTGAATATTAATGTTTTAAAAAATTGTATTAGGAATGCTATACTGTTACCTGCTATCACATTAGTATCAGGAGGAAACCCATTTTTTCCTCTTCTTGATTTCATGTTTTATATCACGTTATAAACATAGAATGAATCAAATTCATGTGTATAAAATACTTACATATTATTCAATACTTTTATTAAGATGAATTATTATATACAAAAGAGAAAAAGCATATCCTGGAAAAGTTCATGTCCAATATATCATAATACACAGAGTCCAAACAAACAAGAATACATGCTGCCTCTGATAATAAGATTAGAGTCAAACTCCAATACATGCATTTCTGGAATTTGTACTGTAATAGATTTATATATCACTGTAATAACTGCTATAACATGTTTTACTCAACATATTATTCTTCTATGATACAATACATAATACTTCTGTTTTTAAAATAAACTGACAAAAATATTGTGTTTAAAGAAAGTGAGAATAAAACTCAAAGGGTAGAATGGTTGTTAGTAAATATACAGATGTTGAATCATTCTGCTTAAGTCTTAATCTTACAACACTGTTTAGCTATGTAACCTTCAAAAACATCACCCACATTCCATGTCTTATCCCTGAAAAGGTGATACAAATAGTGCTTTTTAAAGGGATGTGGGTATGAGGATTAAATGTGTGTGTGCATGTGTGTGTGTATGTGTGTGTGTGTGTATAAGAGGCTTAAAGGAGTACTCAGCATAGTATAAGCACTGCTTGAATATTACCTCCTACTATTATAAATGCATCCTTTTTGATTTCTATAAGGAAGAGTAGATCTTTCAATTTCTCAAAAAGGAAAAATAATCTGACACTTGATCTGTGAAAAAGAACACATTTATATAAAGAACTTTTAGTAGACAATAGTCTCCAAGGCACTTCTATCTGGGATAGTGTCCTCAGAAACTGCAWTGCAAAGTAGAGCACAGTAAAGCAGGTCATATTTTCAATCAGATGCTCAGAAATTTCTTTCCTGATGATTTATGTATGTACTGTCTTCAAAATATTTATGTTTGAGCCTCAGAAATATAGAAATACAATTTTTTAAATCATCATGGTTTAAATAGTAAAGAAGGATATTTTCTATGCCCTGTTTGGTGATACTAAATGTCCTATAAACTGATTCATATAGATTGATATGCAAGGATGGTTCAACATTAAACTGCATTTCTAAAAAACATTTCCTAAAGTTTAATACCCACTTATCAAGACATTCTTAGATAACTATTAATAGAAAAAAATTCTCCAACTAATAAAGAGTTTATCTTAAACAAACCTACAGAAATCATAGTTAAAAATAGAAGCATTTTTTTTTTAGTTGAGAATAAGACATGGTTGGTTGTTACTGCTGTTAAGTAACATACATTCATTTCAAGTACAGTAAGACAAGCAAAGATGAGGTATAAACTTTGCAAATGAAAAGGCAATACTTCATTATTTGAAAATAATACGACATTTGTTATGATAACCCAACAGATGTGAGACACAAGGAACTGTGTTCCTCTTAGAAAAATAATTAACATTCCAGTACACCATCAAAAAACAAGCAAATCATATGATGAAGGCTATAACTTATAATAGCAATTAAATATCTACAAAGTTTATAGTAATAAACTTAAAAAGGAAGAAGCAACAGCTGTTTTAGATCTCAATTAAAATATAAAATAGAACAAATTCTGTTTATCAATGAAACAGCACAGGTTTTTGTAAGTCAAAAACTACTTAGAAGTGTAATTCTAACCAAAGTCTTTCACAATATTTGAAGAAACCTGAAAAGTGAATTCTAAATTTTATATGAATGATTAAAAACTCCAAGTAGCGATGGGAATTTTGAAAAATAAGATCAATAAACATGAAATCTAAAAAAACATTTTCATAGAAGTTGAGACTAGACTAGTGGTTAACAGAGGGGAGGGTTGGATGGGGACAAGTTGATCAATAGGTATAAAGTCATAATCAGATAGTTATAGTCATAATCAGAKAGTTATAGTCATAATCAGATAGTTATAGTTCTGGGGTGCTATTGTACAGAAACTGACACAAGGAGTAAGATAACTGTTGTAACATGCCTGACCACGTGTTCAGAAGCCTAGGGAACTGGTCTGAAAGAAGAGTTTGGAAAAGTTTGGAGGTACAGGGTGGAGAAGCCTTTGAATGTTGTAAGCAGACCATAATGGACACTTCTGGTGGTGATGGTGGGGATGAATTTCAGAAGACCCGAAACCAATAGGAATGGGGAGGGTAAAGACTGTGGCTCTTGAGGTTTCAGAGCAGAACAAGGACTCTTGAGYATTTAACTAGGGGCTATTCATGTTACATTTTGGCAAAGAACTTGTCAACATTTTGACCATGTCCTGAGACTTTTTGAGAGACTGAATTTAAAGATGATGCTCTAATTAATCTGGCRGTGCAAATTGCAAGGCAGCAAAGCATTCAGGCCATGGCATAGGTATTGCTGACCACTTTTAACCAGTTTTACTATGAGGTTCAGGAGCAAAAAGCAGAGAAAAAAGATTTAGAAAACTTGTAGTTTGGCTAGAGAAGAAGTATATATATAAAAAAGAGCACAAGGAAACTGTGGTTGCTGAAGAAATTACCTCTGTTACAGAGAAACCAAGTGCTTTGCACAGAGACAACAGAAAAGATGCCTTGAGAGCATCTCAGGAATCAATAAGGTCATACCATGGTAAGGTCAGGGTGTAAAAATAAAAACTCATTTAAGAGATCACAGGGGACCCTGCTCACAAAGCCCCTCTGCAACCACTGCATCCATGTTCTAAGAGGGTCAGGGCCTATTTGAGCTAGTTGCAGACCCGGGCATCATCTACATAGTGCTGGTTCTGTAGATATAAATAGGATCCCGGAAGAGTTATGGGTTATGGATGCTTCTAATAATATTTCAGAGGAAGACCTGGTAGGCCAGGAAAAACACATGGTTTGAGATCCCTGTGAGCAGTCCCTGACAGGGCTATGTATGAAGCTTCAAGAAGGAAGGTATGCTGGAATGGAGATGCCAGGGATTAAGAGATGCCAATGATATGAAACATTTACCTGAGGAAAGCTCCTGTCTGTGGRCAGAGCTAGTGTAACAGAGAGATCACATAGACAGCATCCAGCAAAGCTGTGGGAACTAAAGTGCACAAGTCCTGTGAAGTTTCTGTCTTCATGAGACCCAGGTGACTTTCAGTATGGTTTTGGTCCCATCCTTCTTTCTATTCCACTACTACTACTACTACTGCTACTACTACTACTTCTACTACTACTACTATTTTGCAGGGGAATGGAAATCTTTGCTCTGTCCTAGTGTATATTGGATATATGTAACTTGCTTTTGATTTTTGCAGGGCCTCTGAGCCAAGATTTTTCTTTGAGTCTCAGGAAACTTTTGAGTTGGACTTTTGAGCATTGCCAAAACTGTTAAGAGCATTAGGACTACTGGGGATAGACCGCAGTGTTTTGCCTTGTGAGATGAATATGAACATTTGGAGGCCAGGGTAGAATGCTATGGTCTGAATATTAGATGTCCCACCAAAAGCTCATGTTAAGCAATGCAAAGTGTTCAGAGGTGAAATAATTAAATTGTGAGATCTGTCAACTCATCAGTGAATTAATACATTTGGTAGAGTAGGAATTTGAATGAATTTMTGGGTGGTAACTATAAGTAGGTCATTGGAGATTTTCCTTTGGGGTTATATCTTGTCCCTGGATCCTCTCTCTTTGTCTGTGTTTCCTGGTTGCCATGAGCTGAACAGCTTTCCTTGACTATACCCTTCCACCATGATGTTCTATCCCACCTTAGGTCCAGAGCAATGAAGTTGACTGACCATGGACTAAGATCTCTGAAAYCATGAGCCCAAACACACTTTTCCKCCTCTAGATTGTTCTTGTCAGGTATTTTGGTCACAGTGATGCAAAGTCAACTAATACAATAATGTACTGCATATTTCACAAAAGCTAGAAGAAATGATTTCAACATAAAGGTAAATATTTTAATAGATATGTATAACCTTGTCTGTGCATGACATGGTACACCTCATATATATGCATAAATTTTATGTCAACTAAAAAAATAATATAAGTATATCTAACTCTAAAACTTCCTCTCAAAAAATAAAAAAATAAGAGAATAAAAACATAAAAATAAGCATGGAATACAGCTTGTTTTGTCAGATACTAAGATATATTCTAAAATCATAGCATTTAGCATGATATAGAATTAGAACAGAAAAACGGAGTAATATATCAGATTTCTGAGGCCAGGGATACTTATATACATACAAAAACTTGGACTATTGCAGAATGGAATTACACAAGTCACAGATATATTATAGATTATTTTATAAATACCATTACAGATTATCTTTTCATAGTAAGAAAAAGAAAATCACCTTTTCCCTCAGACTGTATCTTAAGGACAAATATCCTAGAGACAAGTGAAAAGTAAAACTATAAAGTTAATAGTGAAAGTGTAGCAGAATATCTTTTTTGAACATTAGATCATGAAATTTTCCTAAGTAATCCATGTAAAATAAAACAAACCAAAAAGAAAAGCAATCATGAGGTTAACTACATCAAAAATGTTATTTGTTTCTAAATAAAACTAATAGGTTATGGAAAGGAATACAAAATACTTGCTATGTTTAGGGATTGCAAAGCAATAATATGTAGTATATAAAAGGAAATCTTAAAATTTGCTCATGAACAGAAAGCTCAACCAAACTGGACTAAGAGTATATTGATTTACAAATAAAGAAAACCAAAATGGTTTTCCAGTACTAAAATCAAATGTCAGTATCATTGGTGACAATTAAAACAGCAATAACAGAAGAAAAAAGTCAAAATGTTATCTTTCATACAACTACAAAATATTGAAAAGCAGGATAATATTAAAGTCAGGTGAAAATGTAAGGGAAAGGAAAACCTCGCCCACTGAGAATAAATACATACAGTTCATTTGGAGAGCAATCTCTTAGTATTACATGAAGCTGAGGATACAGACAAACTAACAATTTTTTGGTTGTTATGTGTTAAAATCAGTTATGTGTTCTTGGGAAACCCATTAATGTATTAAATGATAACAACATCCACAATTATTAATAAGAGATTTATTTGAGATAGAGAGAAGGGTTGTAGGCCTAAGTACCCACAATGATATTTCATTATATTTAAATAACACATTTCTCATATTTAGAAGAAGTGATCTAAACACAGGTAGGTTTCATGAATAGATTTATTTCTAGATATAAAGAATAAAATATGTAAGAGAAAAAAATGAGTTTTCTTGCATTATACCACTGAAATAATTTTGAGAAAGAACTCTCAAAATAATGCTACATATATTTTATGAGTAATTATTTATGCAAACAAACAAGTGGAAGAGCTTACACTGAAGAAGAAGAGTGGGTGCTATTGGGAGGAGGGTGATGGAATTAGTAATAAGAAATGAAGAAAAAATAAAGAGAGAATCACATGTATGCATCATGATATGTTGTATGTGTTTGTTCACTAGAGTTCTAAAAGAGAATGGGAAAAATGTTTATCTATAAAAACCATATACAATTAAAAAACCTTCAATGAATCACTTGATTGGAAATATGCATTAAACAATTATGCAACTTGTATTATGAAATTCTCACTTCATAAGGAAACATTTTTATAGGGTTAACAAGTCATTAGGAAATAGAATTTTGGTCTTGGATGAAACTTTTATAAGTAAGTATTTCATTTTCCAGATGAAAAATACTTCAATACAAAATATGAAATGCTTTTTGAAAATCAGTTAAGAGGTACAGTTGCTTTTAAAAATACTTTTTCTGGGCTGGGGCTGTAGCTCAGTGGTAGAGCTCTTGCCTTGAACATATGAGGCACTGAGTTTGATCCTTAGAACCACATAAAAATAAACAAGTAAAATAAAGACATGCTGTTCATCTACAACTACAAAAAAAAAAAAATTTCCCAAAAGTCTTAGGTATGCCTCTATCTTTGGCTTCAGAATTTTGGCCATAGGGAATAGATATATTTAGCATCTTTTCATTAATTTAGTGGTGCCTCAAAGAGTAGTTAATATATTCCAGTATTAATTCTCCACTCTATTGTCTTGTTTAAACAAGGCAACAATACTGTAGCTTCCTCAAAATTTCTTCGTAGAATTATAATTTAATATTGTCACATGACTTTAGTCATTAACCACAACCCATCTCATATTAAAAGCGTTCTCAGGCAAACTTTATTGAATCATCCAATGTCCCCTAAACAAATGCATATGTGAACAACTGTATTTAGAGTTGATTGTTCAGTTTTTCTTACCTAGAGAATAGATATGAATTCTCTTATCAGATTATGAAAACCTTCCTAGGAAGGCACTAGGCACTAGGAAGCTCAAGAGTTTTTGCATTAACTCTTCATTAGTTTCTTCCACCCTGATTGTCTAGTATAAGTACCTACTAACTTACCTTGTTACATTCTTCAGCTCCTGCTTTTTGACACTTGTTATAATAGTTTCATTTAATCTGAATTGGAGCCTTTTGCCAGAACCTATGTAAGTCTTTTGTTTGTTTGTTTACAAGTGAGTAACTGACTTCAAAGAGGCAACTGATATGTCAATTGCAGAAGCGTTTACCCACAGTAATTTTCTTCTCAGTTTGGGACTAACCTCAAACACGATAATGAAGGCCAATCGAGCAGCAAGGATGTGCCAGTATTGTAAGGTGAATTCATAGGGTTTGGAGCTCCAAGGGGGCCCTCGATAGTCTCGGTACCTGAAACACAAAAAGAAAGAATTTGAAAAATAGATCCCAGGCTCTGTGGTACACACAGAAGCAAAGACAGAATGATCACCAGTTTGAGACCAATCGGGGCAATTTAGTGAGACTCTGTTCAAAATAAAATTTACAAAGGACAGAAAATGTAGCTCAGAGGTRGAATATTTCTAGGTTCAATTCCCAGTACTGTCAATAAATAAACAAAACCCACCACCAACAAAAGAATATGAAAAATAGAGATSAAAGGATCAAAGTGTGGAGGTCTCAGATTTCCCTAATTTGCCCCAAACTCCAAAATGATAGTTTAAGTGGGTTCATTGACATTTAGGGGAAGGAGACAGAATGGTGAAGACAAGCAGAAAAGTTAACAATAAGTTATAAATAAGTACCTGCAGTAACCAGATTTTCCTAGACCAAGCTCACTCAAGTCAAAGAAGGATAGGCTATTGTTGACATATCCTTTTAAGCAACTAGGAAAAAAGAAAATTATTATTTGACTGAGAGTTTCATAACTTTCCAGTATAATTTCTTCATTAAAATGATAGGATTTTATAAATGCATCATTTCTAACTACATACACACAGCAACTCAGCTGTTATTATATCCTCTCTCATTGTATCTCTAATTGTATCTTAAAGAAACAAACCCCTCCCAGTATTTCTCCTCTCTCAATTTCATCTGGTTTGTATTTATTACATGGTTTATTAGACGCTAGTTAAATCCTTGGTTTTAAATCTCTATAAATCTGTGTTTTAGAGTACTAAATTCATTTGGAAGAGTAAAAGACCCAGAATACCCAAAGCAATTCTGAGAAAGAGTGAGGCAGGAGGCATCACTACACCTGATATAAAATTATACTACAGAGCTATAGTAACAAAAACAGCATGTTTTTTTTTT